GTGTGTATAAACGCTGTGTGTGTACTCTAAGCAACGCCACAACCTTTAGGTCCTGTTGTGAAAAGCTTCTACCGTTTAAATATACATAGAGCCGTGTAAAGAGTACAAAAAGGGTTTTCTGTATTTAAGGAAAGTGATGTATAGTTTTCCCGTCAGGCTATTGATAGGGCTTATTCCAGTCTTCCATCAGAGGCGTGTTACAGTCACCACCAATACACAATCCATAAAAGGTTTTCCCTTTCCTTTGTCATTGTGATAAAACAGATTTCTGTTGTATAAAAGGACCATAAACTAATAAGGATTTACAATTTCATTTTGCTTTTGTTTCTCATTTGTTGCTGTCGAAGCTGAAGTGTTGATATTGATTGTTGTTTAAAGTTTACAGGGCACTATTGTGACGCCACTTACTGTGCTATTACTGACGGTGGGTGGAGTCGGAGCTGTCGAATGCCCTCATTTGTTTTTTGAAAAGCTATTTTTTCAGTCATTTGTATGAAAAAATAATTGATTTCTGCATTGTTTTTTTGACTGGCGCTATGTTATACCAATTACTTTATTGTGTTTCTTACTGCATTATATAGATATCATTAATGAAAGTGGTCTGAATGTCAGTTTTTGATGAGGTTGTAAATGACTCGTGGAGACCAGACTGTAGTCATTATAGACTACTCTTCCTCTAAGGTTACTGAGTAAAGATAGCCGTTAACTGACAGCAGCTCATGTGACCATCATCTGTTGCTACCTGCAGTTTGTGTGACACAGTGTGAGACGATGTGATTTGAAGACTTGAATGTAACTTTTTTTAAATGCTAAGGCTGCCACGTAACTGGTGAGTCCTTCTGTTCATAATAAAACAAAAATCAGTGAAAGTGTCTCTTGTGATCTTCTTCATCAGTTCAACACATAATCCTTTTAAATGTTACAGCCCGACTCTTAGACTGCGACAAACACAGGTGACACATTATTAAATACTAGAGTTTAATGTATTATGGCTGCAGCTAACAGTTGTTTTCATAATCAAATAATCTATGGATTGTTTTCCTGATTTATTATCATTTAGTCTATAGAACGTCAGCAAATAACTTCCAAGACCATGTTCATGTCCTAAAATGTCTTGTTTGGTCCCACCAACAGTACAGAAACTGAAGATAGTCACGTACTCATCACAAAGATTTTTCTGTTTGTGGAAAAATACTCAGATCATTTAGTATTCAATTGTAGAATATCACTTTGCTTACAAGCGCTTGCATTCAGATTTTACTAGTAATAAGTACAAAAGTTACAAAGTATTATCAAACTATACTTGATAAAATGAATCATTATTCAGAATGGCCCATTTAAAGAAAAAAAGAAACCACGTCTAAACACAAAATGTTCCAGGATCATTCTAAAAAAAATCCACTTTTATATAATTAATTGTGTTAAATAACATCCAGTTATTGACGAGGCGTCACACATAAAAAGGTTGGTAACCACTGGTGCAGAGTGGATGAGTGACAGTTTGCTACAAGATAAACAACAGAAAGGCGTTCAAGCTGCTGGTTGTGTTGCTTTCAGATGCAGCCCAGAAAAACCAGCAGCAAGGTCACCACAGAAAGGGTTTATTCACAGACACATTTTGACGTGTCCCAGTAGGAAAAGCACAGGTGTAGATTATAAATCGAATGATGGCTGAATTTCATTTAGCTGCTTCAGTTTCAGGGTCCTGGTATTGTGCCTCACTATCACACTGTCATGTCTTTAAAGGTCCAGGGTGTAACATTTAGGA